TTTACCAAAAGAGGTTTATCGTGTTCAAGAACCATGTCAAGAAACGCCACAGAATATTGCGTGGGTTATAAATGGTTTTCAAAATACAGATAAGGTTTCATGTTATGCAAATGCACTACTACAATGTTTATTGCATTTAGTTGATATTAGAAAATTTTTCATTTTAGATAAACTTAATGTTTTAGGTAAATTAGCGTATCAGTATGAAAAGAGAATGGCAACATTGGATACATATGCGATACGGCAATATTTAGGAAAATATTTTTCTGATAATATTAAACGCGATGTATTCGAATTTCTCACGGCTCTTTGTGACAAATATGATTATATAAGAAATTCATTACTGTATAAAATGAATACTACAAGTCGTTGCAAAACTTGCGACAATACAAAATGTACCACAAGTGAGAATATTATTATTTCAATATCTGTCAATTGTTTGAAGGAGAAAAGTTATAACCTTCAAGATTTAATAAATGTTACATTTTCACATTGGAATCGATCATTTAACGAAGCATGTAAACATTGTGCAAGAAATGATGCATTATTTAAAAATGAATTAATATCTCAAAAAGTATTTGTTATACGTATATTACAGGATGATAAATCGGTAAAAAAACAAAAAATTAATTTATGTGCTGTCCCAACAACAAAAGTATTATTAGTTGGACAGTCTTATAAGGTCATGAATGCTATATTTCACCATGGATCAAATATCAATGTTGGGCATTATACAAGTATGTGTAGAGAAGGAATGTCTAATGTATGGATTGAAGCTGATGATACGCAAATTAAAAAAAGATCATGGCCAAGGGGTTCTAAGGATATTTATATACTTTTCTTGCAGAAAATTAATAATAAATAAATATTTGTATAAGATAATAAAGATGTTTAAAAAAGTTTATAAAATGTTTAGTAAAAGTAGTAAATACGACGGAGTTGGTGGTGAGAGAAGAGTTTTTCTATTATTTATATTTAAAAAAAAATACAACAATATTATTGAGATACAACAAAATAATATATTCAGATAATATTATAATAATAGATTATTATTATTATTGTATGTGATATAATCATTTTCGTTGCAAGAGATAGAAAGAGAATTGTCGACAATAACATTTATTTCATTTTGTTCAAATTTATTCTTTTTCTGAATTACAGCTGATACGTAAATTAAGAAGAGATAATAATTCAGACAATTT